TATGCGACCGAACCTGCAACCCAGGTAGGTGCCCCAACCGGGAATTGAACCGGTGACCTTTTGCTTTGCAGGACGACGCCCAGCCCACTGAGCCACACCAGCCGGGGCGGCCTCACCGGGCATTCCAGACTGGCTTGTTTCCCGAGGTTGTCTCTATGCGTGTTCTTCTGGTTCTCTTGTACCCCCCCCCCCCGACACGAATGCCAGTGTCTAGTAATTCTTGTCTCATTGAGAAAAATGCCGGACTCCTCTCCTAGGCTGACCTCCACCCCGACCGAAGGATATCAACTGCTTTGGGGTGAAGCTGCAAGGGAAAGGGGGGCACGGCCTCTGCCTCCTCGCTAGCCTCGCGCCGGCCCCACCCCCGGCCTTCTCCAGGCGGGGGGGGGGGGCAGAAACACGCGTCTCTGGTGGGTGCAGACACGCGTGCCTGCTTCACGTTTTGCACGGACCGCAATTTGCATTCTTTAATGAAAAAAAACATTCTACTTCAGTACGCTTTGAATAAAGTTATTTTTAAAAATCCCGTGGGTCACCACGGAGCACACACAAGATCGTAATAGAAATACCGACTACAAAAGGAGAGGCTGGACGACAAAAAAAGCTAGAAAGAGCAAGAAATAGGAAGTCTTCAGAGAGGCGGCCCGTTTAAAATTTTAAAACTCCATCATAATCAAGCGAGCACAAACAGGACATTGCACATTCTTTATTTAATGAAAATTTAATGACCGGCGGAACAATGAAAATCTATATGAAAACCATTCTCATCAAATCCACCACACGAGAAGGCTGAAACCCCCGCGATGTCACCCTCTTTGTTCAAAATGTAATTACTGAGCAAAACAATGGGACCACGGCCGAGCCTGCGGGGGGTCTAGCCCCGGCCCCACCAACATCAGGGGCCTCCTGAGGGCAAGCGCAGAGACGCCTCAGTGGGGGGGGTGTCTGGGGCTCTCCATGACACGTGGCACGCCGAGGTTACCATGGGGTCTTAGAGAGCAGGGCCTCGAACAGAGACGGTAACATTGTAGAGGAACTAGGGTCCAAAGAACGTTAGAAGTTATGGACGGACACAGGGCAATTTCAGCAGGATACAAGAGAAATGAGTGTTGGGAGAAGTAACAGGAAGGCTTAGAAACCACCCAGACAACCCCGAGAGCCCTTTCTTCTGCCGGACAGAGGGAAGGATGAGGGTTTCTTCCAAGAGGCCTTCCTTCCAGATGCCTCTGGAACAGCCTGGCTTTGCCACGATCATGTGCGATTCTGTCCCCTGAGGGCCGGTGGGGAATGTCCTGGAGTTTGATTGGAGTTCGGGGTCTTCTTAGGCTGCATTACTAGTCAGAGGGGATAAAGTAAACTTGCTTTGACATTTGTAGTCTTTCAGAGATTGCCTTGGATTGCTGAGACCCAGTAGAGACTTCAGACCAAAAATTTAGCCAGAATGAGGCAAACATGTGTATATTTAGGGCCAACGAGGTGAGCAATGTGTTAACCCAAAGGTAGTGTGAATGCCCACACCACATGATGACTTCTGAGAACATGACAATAGATGAACAGAGCCTGTGTTTTTTACATATTGTTGAAAAAACAAAACAAAACCCCAGGCGGCTCAGTTGGTTGAAGTGTCATCCCATACACCAAAAGGTTGTGGGTTCAACCCCCCGTTGGGGCACATATGGGAGGAAACCAATCAATGTTTTTCTCTCACACTGAGGTTTCTCTCACTCAAATCAACAAACATATTCTCGGGTGAGGATTAAAAAAATAATCCCACCCGTGTGTGGCAACGGTTTGACTATGGGTCCATTTCAACCTAAGTCCCAAGACTCCTTGCCCTTTGGACAAGAGCTGAAACAAGGTTGTTTCCATCTTAAAATACCCTTTCTTACAACATACATTTAAAACGAGCTTGGCAGCGATCGAAAACCCGCGGAGCTGGGGAGACGGAGTATCCGCACGTGAAGGAACTGAACCTGCACTTCTGGGCTGCAGGTGCTCGTTCTCAGGCAGAGACACCGGGGCAGGGAACGGGAAAAGTGCAATGGCAGGAACTGGATGAACGGCAGAATTTCCACTTAAGGGAAAGGAAACCGGAAGGGAAGAGCCAGCCACAAGGAGGAGGAGCTTTGACTTAAGGAGGCAGAGAGCTCTGGGAAGAAGAGGCCTCTGGAGGGAGCGGAGTAGGCCACCAGTGGAGGGTGGAAAGACAACCTCTGGGAGCACTGTTGAAATCCGCTGACGAAGGGAAGGCCAGGTAAAAACAGGCAGAAGGAGCCAGCGGTGAGGACGCGGGGCTCCCGTGCAGCCGGCGACCACTGTCGGGCCTTTTCAGCCAGTGGCTCGGGAGAGAGGTTTACTTTTCAAGGGTGGGGGAGACTTGGGCACTTTTGTGGATTGAAGGAGAGAGCGCCAGTCGGACTGAATAGGCTACAGGGAAGGTAAGACAGAAGCATGACCCACGTTCTCAGGGGAGGTCTTCTCTCCCTTTTTTTTTCTTTTTGGTGTGACTGACCCACCTTCTCAGTAAGAGTTAGGAGGCAACAATTCAGTTGGGGTTGGCAAATGTTTCCCTGAAGGACCAGATAGTAAATATTTTAGGCTTTGTGGGCAAGAGGCAAAATTGAAGATATTATACACACACTTATATACCATTTTACACGTCAAAAATTATAGTTCCCAGGTCATAACAAACACAGGCAGTGGTCGTAGTGCACCCACCCAATTTAAACTACGGACCTGGGGCCTTCAACTTCAGAACTTTGGAATTGTTTTCCTCCTGGGAATGAGTGTTTTCATCTGTAAGACAGTATTACCTTTGGATACTTCAGGTCAAGTCACGTAAAATCAAATTACAAGACGAGATGAGATGCTAATCCCAAGAGCAGCTCAGGAGCCCTTCCGGGGAAGCCCGGCTTGGCAAAGCCAGACACCCCCCTCCCTGCTCCGGGCAGGGCGGGCATTTACACCTGCCCCGCACTCGTCGCCCTCGGAAGTCAGACCCCCCTCCGGGCCCGTGTCAGGGTCTAGTCTCTCCTGGGGCTGAGAAGGGCTGCCTCCTTGGCTGTGGTTATTCGAGAAAATCAGGAAAATCAGTTAAAGGAAAATGACACACAAAAGTGAAAAATTTCGATAACCTTCCAGGTAGCTTTATTTTCAATCACAGAAGTAGTATTACCTTGAACTGCAATTACACAAGCACCGCTGTATCCCATTATAAAAACGCAAGTGGAAGCCCTGGCTGGCGTAGCTCAGTGGATTGAGCGTGGGCTGCGAACCAAAACATCGCAGGTTCAATTCCCAGTCGGGGCACGTTCCTGCGTTGCAGGCCAGGTCCACAGTGGGGGCCACATGAGGGACAACCACACATGGATGTTTCTTTCTCTCTCTTTCTCCCTCCCTTACCGTCTCTAAAAGTAAATAAAAATATTTATTAAAAAAAAACACAAGTGGGGACAATGCCAGCGACCCCATGGCTACCTCCTGGACCCTGAGTGCCAGCACCACCAGCAGCGCAGTTTGGTGTGGGGACTAGACTTTCTGGGCTCATTCTCAGAATGTATATGCGTGCGTGGACTTACAAAACTGATGGCTTCTTACCGTTCTGCAGAAACGCGTGATTTATAATTTGCGAAACAAGACAACTTGGTGATTTAATGTCAGGACATGGATCTTGTTCTCTTAAACTGCTGCATAGGATCGTATTGTGCATTTCCATGATTTATTTACCCTCCTACTTAGCCACGTCAAATTTTTCACCACTGCGGACGGCGCCGCCCTGAGGTCTGACACGCCCTCCTGTCCATCCTCCCAGGAGCACTGGGCGAGACGGCCCGCAGTCCCACGATTCTTGCTGACAACTTGCACTTTATACCTTTGTTTTCCATGTAGCCAAAGTTCTTTCAAGTCATGGTTAGCTTTTTTACATCCCGTTATATATGTATCACTATGTATAGTGAACATGTAGAATTTTGTTTTTGGTCCTGGCTGGGTGGCACTGTGATTGGGAGTGCCCTAGATGCACCAGAAGGTTCTGGGGGTACCTGTGGGGGGCAAATGATCTATGCTTCCCTCTCTCCCTCTCTCTCTCTCTCTAACATTGATGTTTCTCCTTCTCTCTCCCCTCCTCTCTGAAAAAGCAATGAAAAAATATCCTCTGGTGAGGATAACATTTTTTTTTCCTTTTTGGAGCTTGCAGAAATTTCCTTTGTGGCAAAATTCGAATGACTGTCCATTTGCATTTGAAAAGAAACAAGTTCGGCCTCCATACCATCAAACCGAATTACGAATTACGCTCTCCAAGTCCTCTCAACCTGTTCTTGCTTTTCCTGCTTCATGGACCTGCTGACCCCTAAGTCGATGCCCAAGGCAATGGCTTTGTTGATGTTTTCCAGTATGTTTCCACTCCATTATATTGTCAGGGACAAAAACTTCTTTGCTACTGGACCTTCTTAGTAAACTCTGCCTGTTTTGTTACATCTTCTTGTCTTTTAAAGTTATGTTTCCTCTTAATTCTGTTTTGTTTGATATCAACACGGCTATTCCTGTGCTTTCCTTTTTGTAGTAATTGAATGGTCATTTCAACTTTCTTGTGCTGATTTTTGCTTTTTTAAGGTGTTTTTAACTTTTGGTAGCTAGGATTTAAATTTGCCTTTGTCCTGTCTTAACATCTGTTGTTTTTTTAAAAACAATTTTATTGATTTTATTCTTTAGAGAGCAAGGGAGAAAGAGAGAGAAACATCAGTTGGTTGCCTCTCATATACGCCCAGACCAGGGACCAAACCCACAACTCAGGCATGTGCCCTGACCTGGAATCAAACTGGTGACCTTTTGCTTTGCAAGCTGATGCTCAACCAACTGAGCTACAACAGTCAGGGTGATCTTTTATTTTTAATAGGTGATTTTAACCCATTTATACCTATAAGTACTACTGTGTTTGGCTATATTCCCACCTTATTTTGTTTTCAACTTATTTCTTTAAAAACAACAACAATGAACTTTTGTAAGGTTAGTTTTTTTCCTTTATTACTGTAGCTATCCATACAAATAATTGCAAATCAGGCACCCTGCAGCCACCCACACAGATTGATCACGCTTTGTCATTCTTCCCCCCTCAGCGTAGCTTCTGGGAAACTCCAAGGAAATGGATTTTCGTTTTGTATTTCCCTAGTTCCTCCTTCAGTAGCGCTTTTCTCATCCTCCCATTGCCCCCCATGCACCTCCGCCCCCGACCTTTCTCCCAAAACACACGCACTCCCGCACCTGTTTGTCCCGCAGGCCCTGTTCTCAGCTGGCTTCTCTGCTCAGAAAGATCTGAGACTCCGCCCTGAAGAATCCTTCACCAATCAAGGGCTCGTTGGCAGCAGCATTTCACCGAAAGGCGCCCGAAGATTACCAGACCTCAAAGGCCCATCGGCCAGGCTGCCCGAGTTTGAATCCCATTTCTGTATCTTGTTTAACACCTCCTGCCTCAGTCTTCCTGCCTGTAAAACAGGCTAGTAAGAGCACCTACCGCACAGGGGTGCTGAGCGTTAACGCGTGTCCGGAATACGGAACGATGGCTGGCACATGAGAGTTCGAGAGATGTCAGCACTTACTGGCATCGGTCTAATGGCTCCAAAGAAACACTTTCACCAGGGCTGGCCTCGGTCGTTTCCCACTCAATCTCTGTGTCAGGAGGCACTAGCGCCAGAAAAGGGACCCCTGAGGTGAACACACATTTCCCTAAGGATCTGGCCTTACTCATCTCTGCACGGCAGCCTGGTGCCTGCAGCACCTCGGACCCTTGGCCACAGCGACCTGCTGTCACATGTCACTGAACGACAAAAGGAAAAAGGGACTGATATCTAGATCTCTAAAATAATGTAGGAAACAATGGGGAACAGGTAGGCTGGAGTCTCCTGTGGCGCTGGACTGCAGCGCATCGCCGAGTAGACAGCGCAAGAACAGGGATTTCCCAAAGCAATACTATGACGCAGCGGTCCCCAGCCTTTTCGGCACCGGGACCGCTTTCATCGGGGACCATTTTTCCACAGACGGGGATGGAGGGGAGGGGGCAGTTTCGGGATGATTCGAGTGCATTGCATTCAAGCTCACCTCCTGCCGTGCGGCCCGGTTCCTGACGGGCCCGGGCTGGTCCTGGTCTGCAGCCTGGAGGTTGGGGGCCCCCGGTATAAAGCACCAGCATGGTTACCAGCCGGACACAATCTGTGCCGTGAAGACGTGCTCAGAAAAGGTGACCTCTCCGCTAAAGAGCTGCTTATTTTGCCTTAGGGCAAAATAAAAAGGATCCTCTGATAAAATTTTCTGTAGCACCAACAATTTAGACTTGATCTTCACTATAAAACCTCCGCTCTGAAAACAAACAAGATCGGCTTCCACCACGAGAGAAACTATCAGCACTGTATACGAAGGTGTTCTATCCGTCTTGCAGGAAGATTATTTTCTTACCTCATCTGTATGCATAACAAACAATTCTGCTTAACAGAGTAGCAAGTCTCCAGTGAACTCGGCACTTTATTTTCCATTCGCCACAGAATTCTGATTTTGTAATAACGGATCCAGTCTGACATATGGCGTCGAAACAAACCTTTCACTTTACGAAGGAGCGGCAAAGATACATCAGCAAGGATATAAGTAGTGCATTTAGGAAATACATCATAATCCTAAAGCCAACGGATCTCACACAGTAGCCTTTGCGTTCAACACACCAGCGACACCCGAGGAGAGCTGCGGTCTCTGCCAGGTGATCCATACAGGTAAGCCATAACACTGATGAATGTAACACTTCTGAAACGCTCATTCTTTATCAGCTAAGCCTAAAATAAATCAGGAAGAGGACTGAGATCCACAAGGCTGAGACCCTGGACCTGCTGGGCAGAGAGGATGTTGAAGGGTGGGAAGAACACTGAACCGGGGGCCGGTGCCTCTGGATTGTCGTCTTGTCCTTGTCCCCCGACGGATGACCCCGGGCAAGGGCCCTGGGCCGGGGGCCCTTCATTTTAAAGTGGGGGAGCGGGCTGGACGGTTCCCGCAAGTCTCTCTGGGTATGACTTTCTCTGACACGGGTTCGTGCTCCGGTTGTACAGTGAGATCTCCGACGGACCCCACTGGGCAGCTGGGCTGCGTCCAGTGCCGTCACGTGCGGGCAGGAGGCACTGAGGGGCTTCTGTCCACGGCCGCCCGCGCCCCGGGTTGGCCGGCGATGCTGACGGGCTTCGGGCGGGGAACGAACTTGTCTGCCGCCGGACACAAGGTCAGGACGGGCGGGTTTAAAAACACCAAAATCATGGCTATGAAGCAAAGCCATAATGCAAGTTCTACAGGGAAAATCCGTAACATCTTTGGGAAACGGTAAATGAACACAGTGCTTCACTAACAGAGGAAGCTAGGTACACAGATTGGCCAGAATACACACTTTTCAACCGTTCTTTGCGAACATGCACAAGAAATACACACACAGCCAGAACTCTATCAGCACTGAATGCAAAGTCAAGGTCCATCAGGGGGGTCCAGCCTGCACCGCACGCGGCCCAGGGTGGCTATGAACTCGGTCCTACACAAAACCGTGAATTTACTCAAAATTTTTGGCTTTTTGCTCATCAGTGTGCGTTAGTGTCTGTGTATGTAACGTGTGGCCCAGACTCAGAAAGGCGGGACAGCCCTGGCCACGGAGGCCCCCTGGCGCTGCTCACCGAGCATTCACGGGGCCGACTGTGGCTTCCCACGTTTGCCCCTGTGTTTACGGCCCCACGGGAGCCAGGTGGGATTTGTTTTCACCGATGCTGGCCGCTACGCCATTGCCTGTCAGGTCCACCTTTCCCGTCGTCCCAGGTGCCCCTGCTCCGGAACATGTCATCCGCCCCCTACTGTCCTCGTGGGGCCCCTCTGCCCTTCGTTCGGAGACAGACCGAACGGGTGGGTCTCTATTGTGTTCCTGTTTGAAGCTGAGTGGACGTTCTCTCTTTTGATCCGAAGTCTAAACCTGCCCTTGATTGTTCCTAATATTTTAATGTGATTCCTCTCTCAACTGTATTTACACAATTCTGAACATTTAACGATGATTTGCATTACAGAAATTAATCCGATTCAATAAACATGAATGTGCAAAGCAAAATTACTCTGGAAATCTCGTTTTCCTAATACATGCTACCCTTTCATTTAAGCGCGAAAATGCTTCCCGTTCAGCAGCAGTGGTTATGAGCCTTGAAACATTTCCAGCATCTCCTACCCGGGTCTGCTTTGAGAAAGTATAAAACTCCCGCCTCCCTTCTGAGAGGGTCCCAGGACACGCGCCCTGCAGGGGTCTCTCTTGACTGGGGGTCCCCAGTTTGAAGAAACGGCACCCGCGATATATTTTGCTGACCTTGGCTTTCCTATAATTTGCACTATAGAGCAATCCATTGATGTTGGTTTCTCAAGGTATAAAATTATTTGTATGTGTGTTTTCATATTACTGAATATGCTTTCCAAACTCTGCAGCCCCACCCGTGCTGCTCCTCATTCCTCACGAAGTGCTGATACAGTTCTTCGTGGGGACACGACGTCTCCCCCCGGAGACTCCCTGAGCCGAACCAAACACAGCTCCTGCAGCACGGGTCCCGGCAGAGAGAGCCCAGGAGCTGCGCTTGAGCTGATGGCGTTGAATTTAATACATGGAGAAACCGCGCTGCCGAAAAACGGCGCGTGAGGATGAACATTACAATATTAAACACATTCTGATTACAAACCAAATTATTTAAGCTTTACACTTGAAAGCTAATGCGGAGCCTTGTTTTTAAAATGCTCTGCGGAGACCGTCACGTGTAAAACGCCTCTTTTACACAGGTCCCTCACCACCGTCACACATGACGTTGCCTTATTTTGTAAACGTTTTCTTCACTTATTGGACTGACAGAGTTATACCCTTATTTTTTTTCATCCATTCTCAGGCATTTAGGACTAGAATTTTTAGGCTTTTCTAAATAAAATTTTTATCGGTTTCTACCTCGTACAGCGGCTTGGAATTGAATCTATCTGTCCTGTAGAATTGCCAAGCGTAACAAATATTTCTGACTAATGCCACAAAATAAAGTTTTAATAGGACTATAAAATAGGCAGCCAGGTCTCCAAATGCTGACGGAGTGAGACTTGCGTGTTCCCCGGAGCTGGAAAAACACCTAACTTTCAAAAGGCGCTCTGCAGACGATACGGATGCACTTCTTCCCACATTTTAACAATGCTTTCCTGCGCCAAGGTTAAGCAGACCCGAGAGAGAACATGGAAAAGGTCTCCCCGACGGCCCATGACTAAGGGCTTAAGCAAATTGCTCCAGCGCTCTGGTGGTCGACTCCCCCAAAAGGCACGAGAGTTTGAACCTGTCCACCGGCGGCCCCAGGGAGGGCCCGCCCCCCGGGCGGTCAGTACTGCGCATCGATGAGCTTCGCGATGGTGTTCAGCTGGATGTTTGAAGCTCCTTCGTATATTGTACCTTAAACACAGGGGACAACGAGGAGCGGGCTCCCGGTTAGGCGTGGACATGGGAAAGAGCCCTGCAGGCGCTGCCTCTGCATTTGCTACAAACCGTTCCTGGGGGCGTCACCCCACGTGCCCTGACTGCGCGATCCGACAGAGTAATTGTGCCCGAGAGATGACAATTTTCCATTTGGAAATTAAATTCCGATTCCAGACTCAGCATTAAACAGGCGAAGGCTTTCGCTCCGGAACTATCTGTGCCAAAGCCGGGCTCGCCGTTCGGGGACAGGCGGCTCCCGACCCCGCGGCGTGGCGCCTTCCTCCCCGGGGGCAGAGCACCCAGTGCTCAGGCTGGGGCACTTACCTTCGGAAATTAAAACTTGGGTTTCAAAGAACAGCATTAAGCAAATCCAAAATATTAACATTTTTTAGCAAAAGAAAAATGAATACAGATTTCGGGGTGGTTTGACTAAAAGGCCTGTTGAGACATTTGAAACAACAATTTGATGTTTTTAAAAAATATAAGTCCATTGTTTTGAAGGAAGATGGTGGGGGGGGGGAACCCAGACACAGAAAAGATGTGTATGACACTGTGGGCAGGACACCAGCCTCTGCTCGGGTGCCAGAACCAGCGCCACCACCCAAACACAGCAGCCCAGACACCGGGGAAAGCAAACGAAACGAAACAGGACGGAGAAAATCCATTTACCGATCTTCGCGTCTCGGAAGTATTTTTCCACTGGGTAATCTTTGGTGTAGCCTACGCCGCCCATCCACTCGACACATTTACTCGTGATCAGTCCCGCAACCTGCCAAGAAAGCAAGCAGCCGATCACCTGCCGAAGCCCCACGACTTAGGCGTTACGGACACTCTTGGGGTGCCACGCGGTGGGCAGGTAAAGTGGGGAAGATCCAGCAGTCCGGCGTTGGAAAGGGAGGTGGAGGCAAGGGGTCAGGTTAAATGCGCACGTGAAGCCACGGAACGACTGAACTTGGCACAAACTGCTGAGGGCTGGAAACAGCAGCCCAGGGACTGGTGAAGCCCCCCGGCCCACGCCGGTGCTCAGTACAGGAGGCACATGTGTGACTCGGGCACCGGGAGCGTGGCGTTCCCACTGCCCCTCCCTGGGGTGCTCCCAGGGCGCTCCCGTGCCCCACCGGGGAACCACGCGGGTGACGGGACTCAGACGAGGGCCAGCAGGGGACTGGTGATGACGATGGGCCTTCCACCTGAGGCAGGTGACATGGCTTCCACCTAAGACCCTGTAAGAGCTTCGAGGCCTCCCAGAATCAAAGCACCTTCCTGCGGCAGCTTTGCTTTTCCTTTGCCGCTCCTGTAGGAACGGTGAGGTCCTCGTTATCTTACTTGAAGAGCAAGCGAATGCTCAACCCACGTTTCTGAGTGAAGAGCTGAGTAAATACGTGTCTGAACTTCCGTTTCCTCCTTACCTCTGACGCGTAGTACTTGGCCATAGCTGCCTCCTTGATGAAGGGCTTTCCGGCTTCGACGAGGCGAGCGGCGTTATAGGTCAGCAGCCTGGCGGCCTCCAGCTGGGTGGCCGCGTGGGCCACTTGGTGCTGGAGCCCCTGGGACGCAGAGGGAGGCCCAGGTTAGGGAGCCACGGCTCCTGACATCACAGCTTGGCCCCAGGAGCCTGCCCGGGTGCGGACCACTCTGACCGACTCAAAATACACCCGGAGGACACGCATATGCATTTTGTCAGCACTCTTTAAAACCCCCCATCTGAACTGCACGGTGCTACAGCTACTGTTGAAGAATTTCTCATAGCTCGTGTAATTCTTCGTAACTGTGAAGATTTGAAAATATAAATGAGCTCACGATTAGGGGTAAAAATTTGGTGTGTATGTAATAATTATTTTCAACCCTTTCTATGATCCAGACCGGGGTTAAATGAAATTCCAGCAGAGCAAAAATTTGAACACATTTTTCATTTGCTGGAATTGACAAAATCCCGCTCCTGCACGTGGCCCCTCCCCTCAGGGAGCCCCTCGTCTGGAGCGAAGACACGACCACGGGCAAAGCAGAAACCCAATCACTCGAATGAGAGTAAAGGAGTTAGGGAAAAGCTCTACTAACTCCGACCAAAGCTTCACACGGGTATATAAAACTAGCAATGCTGCTCTGCATGATCATATTTCGAAGAGTTTTCTTCTAATGACCCATACAGGCATCTTCAAAAGCGCCGTGGTCACAGGCACTAGCACGCCGGGCCCTCCTCCCTCCCTCCCGCCACGTCAATGAAAACACGGCTTCCTGTGTGCAAAGGAGGCCCGCAGCCCCCCCTCACAACGGTCCTCATGTTCTGCCCCCTTTCGTTGCAATCCGTGCGGTGGCTGGCTCGGAGAAAGCCCTCGAGCATAATAAAGTGAAGATCAGACCAGAAGCCGTGCCCAAGAGCCTGTAGTTCTGACACGTCACCGCTGTCTGGCCCCGTACAGTGTCCGTGAGCTGCGGTAGACCCTGGCCAGGCCTGGTCCGCTCGCTGTCTCCAGGCCTTGAACGGACTGTGCACGGCCTGAGCTCAGAACCCCTACAGGCGGGCAGCCTGTGTGCGCCTGTGCGATGCCTGTCGTTATTGTCAACCCAAAGGTGAAGCAGCAGGGCAGCGCTGGTGACGCAATAAGCTGGCCTCGGAGCCCAGAGCTGCTTAGAGGGGGATTTTGCAAACATGTATAGTCATTCTTCCGGATTGTGAGGTGGCGTGCTCGAGTAAGCCCGGTGAGCTGACACTCCAGTCCTCTAACCTGGTGACACCGTGGGAGGACAGGAAGACTGCCTATTGCCACCAACTGATCCCCCGATGGCCTGGGGAGCTCGGAGAAGCCAGGCCATTGGGCCAGGCCAGTATTACCCAATGTGCTTGACTTAAGAGCCTTGCTTCTGCGCGCACGGCAGCCAAGTGTACCTTCTAACCAATGGGCGCGCCAGACGGAGTAGGGTCCCCTGAGGACTGATGCGCAACTCTGGCCTGACTCCCAACAACTGTTCATCTCTGGGGCTCGTGTTAAACCCAGGCAATGCGGTAACGCTTTACCCATCTATCTTATTCCAGATCACTGGAGAGAGTAGGCAGTATGATCTTTATCTTGCCGATGAGGCAGTCAGGACCTAGAGAGGCCAAGGGAGCTTGTCCAAGGCCTAAAACTAGTAAAACAGAGCACCAGGACTTGAACCCAGGAAGCCCGACTGTAGACCCCAGGGCCTGGATCTCACGGAGCTGCGAGGAGACAGCTCCAAAGCCCTCACCAGGTATCCCGGATGATGACACAGCTGGGCTCCAGGGGCTGCTGCTCTGCCCTTGAGGAGGTCAAGGTATCCACAAGCACGTGCCCTGAGATCTAGTCCTTCCTCCCTCCCACAGCTTTGTAACACTGCCGTTCATCAACAGGGAGACAGGGGAGTCCAGTCCAGTAGAAAGATGTTAATGATCAGATACCTGAAAGTCAAATAATCTTTTGCCAAACTGTATCCTCTCTTTAGTGTATGGAACGGTGTAGTCAAAACATCCTTGAGCCAATCCCAGCATCTGTTTAAAAAAAAAATCAGAATTTCTTATTTTGTTATAAGTTCATGCTTTTAATTATTCGAGTTATAAATTCCTTTATGCGGGCAAATCGAAGAGTTTGGGGAGGGAAGAACCCGAGATCCCAAGGAGGTGGGGTGTGTGTTAATAACCTTCATCCACCCTTTTGCAGAACCCCACGTCCCAGAACTGGGAGAAAAAGGGTGACTTCCCGTGAAAAGGAGTCTGTCTCACTTCAGCACCGAGGGAACTCCCCAGGGGGGCCGCGCTCACAGAACCAGGTTACTTTTCAGAAAACTCCCCCCTCCCACCCGGATTCTCCAGGCAACAAAGCCAGCCACAGACACCGCTCGGAGCTGGCTTCACAGACGGCACAGGGGCGCCCTGGAGCCCTTCTACGGGTCCAGTGTGGAAGGCCACTTCTCACCCTCCCATCCGCCCGTCCACCTGAGCGGGGTTGGTCAGGCCTTCGGCTGCGAGAGCGTCACGACATAAAGGAGCGGTGTTTCTCAAGCCTGGCTGCAGTCGGAACCGTTTGGGGGAGCACTTCAGGACAGAATGCCCGCGCGGGGGGGGGGGGGGGCGGTCTAACGACGGAGCCCAGACCCAGGGAGGGGAGCGGGTATGGCCTGATCTCACGCGGAGCAGGGGCTGAGAACAACCCGGAGAGAGCCCGTGGGAGAGACAGTAACCTTTGCACGTGAAGAACAGGTCAGAGACAGTAGTCTGTGCACGTGAAGAACAGGTCAGAGACAGTAGTCTGTGCACGTGAAGAACAGGTCAGAGACAGTAGTCTGTGCACGTGAAGAACAGGTCAGAGACAGTAGTCTGTGCACGTGAAGAACAGGTCAGGACGTGCGTGCTGGCAGGCGGAGCTGAACTTCCTCGCTGCTAACCAATTTCCACATCTACTGAACGATGCGAGCTCAGAAATGGTTTCTAAATTTCCACACCAGCTAGCTATTAAATCACTATCTAATTATGTCAAACTACATAGGCTTCAAAAAAAGGGAAAAGGAATCAATAGTTAAAGCTTTGGGGGGAAACGCCCGCACACATCAATATTTCATTAGTATCCGTTCACATTTTCCTTCAGCCTTTTAATGGAAACTTTCTGGAGAACAGGACGTCACGCTGAAAACCAGCGAACAAAAACAAACAAGCGGAACTCCAGAGGAACCGGTTCAAGTGCGGCCCCCTCACTGCACTTTTGGCCGTGAGATGAGGTGACGTCTTTATACCCTCACAACGAAAGTTTATGGTCTGTCCATCATGTCCCTCGCGGACATGGAAATTAAAACGATCAGCTGTCAAGCCAAGTAGGCCTTGCCCCCTCCGTGAAATGTTCTCGCTGCAAATACTGAGGAACTAAGTTCTCTTCGATCCCAGAGATTCGAGGACCGGTGCCTTCAGTTCGCTGTGACACGGGCCTCTGTCACTAAGGCACCCTAGGTACCAACCAAGAAATGATCACCGCCTGGCCGTAACTCCTAATTAGGTCACAAGATGACTTGGAGCAATTAGTAAAATACACAGCCTGGGCTTGTATTTCACCAGCAGAACATCTGTATCATTTGTGTGTCTTAGCACAACGAGAGCCAGTCCCATGCTGCCATATTTGATGAAGCCAAACCACAGGAAAACTGGAAAGAGAAGAGATGTGCCGATTCTCTCCGGCGACGTCCAGTTTTGCGGGGAAGTGCACATTGTAATCTATCTCGTTGGCAAATTAACAGCAGTGAAAAAATCTAGAGCAATACCATCACACTTAACTAATCCAGCAGTTAATATATATGCAGTGTCTTCAAAATCTAAAAGCTCTCCAGTTTTTGAATTCTGGATACTCCCTGATTAAAAGTAAATAAATATATTCTACAAAAATGACAATTTATACTAAAGCCAAAGACGATTCACTTTCTCAATTTAGAAAATAACTGATGTCCCAACGGAAATAGGTAATACGCATTACGAAGAACAAACACGGTAAAATCCTGTGTAGTTCTCATCTCACTTATCTATTTAATTGTGGCTATTTTATTTCAAGCGTCACATCCATATAAGAACTGCCTGATTTTCACATGCAAAACCCTAATCAACAAATACTTCATTATCCGTAGATTAGCGACTTTTACCACATAGTACAGTATTATCATTAATGAAAACAACTTTCTTCCAGAATGAGTTTCATGCTTTGAAAAGTTGATTCTTTTAAAAAGCGGAATTAGCCAGGGGGACACTGGTTAATAAAATTGTATACGGTCAAAGCAGACAACCCTGCAGCAGCACGCCATGTGTGTTCTGCGCTGGGTGTTCGCCACCTCGGGTCAGGTCTCCTTCCCTCACCGTTCTTACCCGCCCCCCTCCCTTCCCCTGTCCGGCCTCCCCACCTCCTCTTCCCTCTGGTTATGACCACACTGTTGACTATGAGCTTTTTTTTCTTAATCTCTTCACCTTTTCCACCCAGCTGCCCGCCACAGCCCCTCTGATAACTATGAGTCTGCGGAAAAGCAGATGTTTGAAAAACACACCATGTGTGCGCCCTGGCCGGGCGGCTCAGCCAGCTGGAGCACCGTCCCACACACCACAACTTTGCGGTTTCGACTCCCGGTCAGGGCAGGTGCCTAGGCTGCGGGTTCGGGCGTGTCTGGAAGGCAACTGATCGATGTTTCTCCCACATCAATGTTTCTCTCTCTCTCTCTCCTTCTCTCCCCCCCGCCCCCTAAAAATCAACAAAACATATCCTCAGGTGAGGATAAAAAAAATTACCGTGTTTATGATATATTTTAGAAGTTCTCAATCCAGGCATTGGATAATACTTTAATGTTCTTACAACAGAAAAACTGCTGCCACTAAGCCACTGTTTGGTTTTCAGGACATTACATAATCAACCCAAACGGAATTTTAAAGGAATCACAGAAGCCCTTCTTTCGCTTCGTGAAAGGAACGGGCGCCCTCTTGTGTTCGCAAGCCTCCCCAGACTCCTGGGTTTTACTGCATTTCCCCCTCCCCACGCGTGCACCGACCCGCTCCGTGGGAGAGTCCGTGGCAAAGCGGGACTGACCTGAGCGGCGATTCCTATCCTGCCCTCGTTAAGGCTCCCGATGGCGTACTTATAGCCATGCCCGACTTGGCCCAGGATGTTGGCTTCTGGAACCTGAAAAAAAAATGCAGTTGTTTCTCAATTTAGTTTCATGAAATTCATTTTGATTGTATATTTTTAAATGCACACACGCTGCCAACCCATGTGATATTACTCCAGCATCTACATCAGCGCCAAGGAAATCGGCGGCTGCGTCTCTGTGTCTCTCAATGAACCATTTCCCACCCAGCTCTTGGAGAGACCCAGGACACTACAGCACCCCCCAGAGCCTGGTGGGCAGCTGCCGAAGGAATGAATGAACCTAGAAAAAGGGAATCCCCTCCAACTCATCGGTGACACGAAAGAGTAACATTGTTCCCAGTTCTTATCTGCATGGTGTGGTATGAGATATATAAAGAATTACAGAAAATATGTAAGTAGTTGGCAAGTATGGACAGTAATCCTTTCTTCTGCTGAGATGAGATTATCCTCAAAAATTAACTGATGGGTTTGTTTACGCATGTGTCCATACAGAGGAAGGGAATGGGGAAAAGATTGCAGTGTTTATTCATAATTTTAAAAAATCTACACTAGAAATAAAAAAAAATACAGCTAGCTTTGTGATATGGACAGTTAGGGGAGAGAACGGGCAGACAAGAGAAAGTAGCCAGAAGGAAGACGGCTGGAGAGGTGGGGGGCCTCAGATGACATCCGCGAAGACAGTCCGCAAGCACGGGCACTCAGCCGCGGGCAGGAAAGATCCGCTTGATAGGAGCGGTAGAGAACGCGGTGCTGCTGGGTCCACTGCCCGCCCGGGAGTCCTGAAGCCTCAGCCTTCCGGCCATGTCTCCTCCTCCTCACCTGCAACAACAGCCTCCACGCTCACCGAGCAACAGCCCCATCTGGTGGCCTTGGCGGTAGTGGACGCCAGGCTTCCTTCCCTGAAGCCGGGTTGGGTTGGGTTTACAAGGATCAAATTTACTGTCACCAGGGCTGATTCTTGGGACTGGCTCCCGAGGCCACGCTGTGGGACCACAGGGCTTCCACTCCCGGCCCGAACTCTCGTGAACAGTAGGTTCGGTCACGCCCTTTTACAAAATCCTCTCCGTTGCACGCTTACTGTTTGGGCGCCTTCCCTGCATGTCTGCGGGACATGAGGTTCCACGCAAACCTTCTTTCACCTCAGTCGACGTTTCCCTGGAAATTCGCAGATACCCACCTTGACGTTTTCAAGCGTGAGCGGGCAGGTGGAAGAAGCTCTGATTCCCAGCTTGTTTTCTGCTCTCCCTACGTGAAAGCCTTCAGTATCCCGGTCGACTATGAAGCAGGTGATGCCTTTATATCCCTGAGAAGAAGGTTTGAAATGTTATTGTCACTTGGGTTGTAGGATCCCTTGTTTCCAAAGAGCTCAAAGTAAACAGAAAACTAAACACCAACTTCAGCAGTACGTCCTCACGGACTCAGAACTGCCACATGTGCGCACGGAACAAGAATGATTAGAGGGCAGGAGATTCAAAAGCAAGAACTTTACTACTGCCTTTACTTTCGCAGAAACCATTAGGGATATTAAACTTATTAAGTTATGCTACAGTATTCTATGATCCCGAGAACTCCATGTTCTATATTTAATTTTATTAAGCACTTTGGAGTTTCAAACTTTAATTCAATTAAATGTTACATCAGAGAAAAAGACCAAAGTTAAAATGCATTTATTTTGCTATATGTCTATTTTCCAACTGAATAAAATAGTCTTAAAACTAAATGTACTAGCTAGGGACTTCAATTTTTCATGATTAAATAGAAAAATTCAAATTCTACAATATTAAAAATTACCATCCCCTGGCTGGCATAGCTCAGTGGATTGAGCACGGGCTGCGAACCAAAGCATCACAGGTTCGATTCCCAGTCAGGGCACATGCCTGGGTTGCAGGCCATGGCCCCCAGCAAACACACATTGACATTTCTCTCTCTCTCTCTCCCTCTCTCCCTTTCTCTCTCCCTTCCCTCTCTAAAAATAATACATAAGTAAAATCTTTAAAAAAACTACCATCCCATGACACATTAGGAATAGTAAAGGGTTCTCCAGGCACAGTGGTTACTTCCACAGCATTTAGGCGGTCAGGAAGTAAGAGGATGAAAAGATGAGAACTGTCTAACATTTTCGGTGCTGAGGAGGAGGAGGAAGTAGAGACGAAGTCCTAAAAAGGAAATGGAAATAGGAAAAACAAGGGCAAAGAGGAGAGACGGGGTGAGGGCAAGAGAAGAGACCTCGAGGGCAAACTCGCCTGGGAAAGGTCTGCGTTCGCCATCACCAGGAACAGGTGCGCGTACTCTGCGTTGGTGATCCACATCTTGGAGCCGTTGATGACGTAATAATCCCCCTTCTTGTCGGCCCTGGTCTTCAGGGCAAACGAGTCGCTGCCCGCGCCAGCCTCTGAGAGGCAGAAACTCCCCACCTACACACGGGAGGAAAAGCACCCCCGGTGAACCACTGTGTTTATGCTCCGTCTGACAGCTACTCACTCGCGGCAAAGTAAACGTGTGTAAATCAGACGTGCAGCTACTTTTAACACCTGTGTTTTTATCAAAGCAGCAATGGTGCTCCGACAGCATTGTTTCCCGAAACACCCTACTGGTCTAAGGCAGGCTTAAAGACCTACGTCCATGTATTCAATGTGAAGTTTAATCACACTGGTTCTACTAGTCCCAGTAGAAAGACATCTCCATGTAAATGAAACCACCAGTGAGGTACTGGGAAATAGAATCGAGACAAAAAGTAATACTTTCACTGTCTCATGATTACTCTTGAAACGTCCAAGGGGCCAGAGAGAGGCAGAGTGCGTTTTTCAGGCGGTGCTCGTTTATTGAGCGTTTATTGCTTGAGTAGTCGATGCTGCTGCGCTGTGGGGTGGAAGAGTCAAGTCGACATCGCAGCGACTCTTCTCCTGAAAACTAAATGAAATGTTAGAAAGATCAAATCCGTTTCAACATCGCACGTCAGCTCACTTTGTCTGTGGCGAGCATGGTCAAGTAGGTGGCCTTCTGTTCTTCCGTCCCGTGGTTTTCGATCAGCTTGTTGACGACGGTGTTCTGGACGTCGCACAGCACGGCCACCGCGGCGTCGACTTTGGCTAGTTCCTCCACCGCCAGGACGAAGGAGGAGAACGAAGCTCCCGTGCCCCCGTACTTGGTGTCCACGGTGATGGCCATGAGCTGCGGGGACACGAGGACGCGCAGATCCAGAAAGCAGTTTTTGCAGGGCAGAATGTCCCGCCGTACCCGGTTAACACATACATTGCAGCCATACACATTCTTAGTTTTTAAATTTGCATGCATATTTTATGTATAGATAAAACACAAAACTATATGCATTTGAAAAGGATGGAATAATGACATGCTACAACTATGTTTCCGTTTGTGATCTAAAACATGAAAACAAGGGTGAGATGCTTTGAAAGACACTGGGATGGAATGATGAGAAAGCGTCTGATACAAATGTATCCTGATGACCCTCATTGCTAAGAACTGTTGCTGCCCGTTTGAAAACTGCGGGTGCGGCTTTGGTCTGGCTTTTCAGCGGGGCCCCTGCTGCTGACCTCAGCGCCGGGAGGAAACGGAAGAAAGGAGCCTGCCCCTCAGTGGGAGTGTCTGCTTTCCCTGGGCATAGTCTCTTCCAGCCGGGCCCTCCCACCTTCACTCCTCGACAATCCTACGGCCATTCCTTTGTAGGCCGCTGTAGCAAGTCCAGGTGGCCAGCAGACAACATCTGGCGGCGCTGCCCAGGGCCGCACTACAGCAGGCCCGGGTGCCCGCTAACTCGCCCAGCGCCGGCCGGCCCCGGCCCCGGCCCCCCCCGGCCGCGGTTGGGCCGTTCCGCAGCGGCACCCAAGCCTGGACCACGGAGCGCCCACAGCGCCGGAGTCCACAGCACTCCAGAGCTCCGCATCCTCACTCCGGGCAGACATCCTGCGCCCGCGTAATTCAAGCCCCAGAGCTGCGACAGGTAACAGGCAAACCCTTCCCCCCATTCTCCCCAGACACTTCGGAATCCCACCCGCGGCGGCCGGGAAACTGGGCTGCAGTGAGGGGAGACCCCTGTGCGAGGAGGGAGGAAGGGGTGGGGCACTCGGTGCCCCCGCAGCCTGGGGCGGGCAGGGCAGCTGTCTGACCGTATCCCCGACGGCCGTCGGGGCCACCGCTTCTCCTGGAAAAGTCACCATTTCTCCTACAGCGGGAACACTGTTTTTGTCAGCCACTGCGGCAGGCAGCCACGCTGCGACAACAGGCGTTAGGAGTCAGGTGAGAATCTGGGGGGGGGGGATGCGCAGCCCAACGGACCCTTGTGAGGACGCCAAGTCTGAGCGAGAGCGGCCCGTGGGGCCGGCAGGCACCTCACTGCTGCGGACGACCAAGAACCAGCCCCCCAGAGAGCGAGGTCGAGACCGGACGCCTGAGACCTCCCCGGGCGCCCCCAGCACCTGCGCACAGCGAGGGCCACGCCTGCCCGAGAAACGGCCTCGCAGGTGCGGCGAGACCCACCGTGGCGCCTCATCCGACTCCCTTTTCCCAAGAGTTTCATCGCTAAGAGAAAGTTGGGAAAATCACTACTATTCATGGTATTTAAAAAAGCTGGCCTCCTTAAAACGAGGATAAAACGATTTGGTGACGTGGAAAAATAGTGAAGGCTCTTTTTCAAACAGTACAACAGACAAGATTTAAGCCAATGGCTCTGAATAGGAGCTATCAGTTCCGAGATATCCTTCGTGCTTAAAACAAAAAAGAGGTGTCACTTCATACCCGTGGAGAAGGCGAGCTGATGAGTGGCGAGATTTTCAGTGTTCTCCCTGGAGCCCCCCTGTGCGGACGGACGGACGGATGGACGGACGGCCCCTCCCTCCGCCCGCAGCCGCAGCAGTCGCACTGGATCTGTTTCAGACACGGCGCTTCTATTCCCGGGCTGTGTGGCTTCAACAGCTGGAAGGCGGCCACCCCGGGGAATGGGGAATTCAGATGTGGCCTTTGCCTCAAATGAGCCACATACCTAGGGATTCGGGTAGAACGTTTGCTCTACTCTGAAGCTCACCGCGGGTGGGGTCCGCAACCTCGGCGCCACTGAGCTGAAGCATCCCGTGGCGGCGCTGTCTTGCTCAGCTGCGTCCCTCACCTCTGCCCCACCAGACGCCAGGGGAACGCCCGGCTGGGACAACCAAAAATGCCCCCGGACACTGCCTGATGTCTCTCGGGGACAAGACAGCTCCTGGACAGGTGGGTACCAATAGTCTAAAGAATTCACTCTCTCTCTTGCTTCTAACCTTTTCCTTTGAAAGCACAGTACTTCTAATCTAAATTTTTAATTCGATTTAAAAAAAAAAAACCTTCAGGATCTCAATTGAAAAGAGAACACAGATAATTTTCACTAGGAAATGAAGAGCTCATTATGCTATCATTAGAGTTCCTACATTGAAAAGTAGAGACACATTTTTAACCCTCGAAAGTATTTACAAGAGTTTGAAATTAGAAAAATTATGAATTATGTACCCCTTGTTGGAACAATCCTTGTATTACTGATTTCTCCATTTTTGAATTTTCGTCCATGGTTGAAACCAAAGGAGCAATCTGTTCCCGGGCAAATTTTTTCACTGCAGGAAATAAAAAACACTGGTAAGTCTTTATTCTGTTAGTGTGACACGCATGACTTCAAAAAAAATTTTTAGAAGTTCATGTCAAAGAAGCCGATCCACGTACAGAGGTGAACAGACCCGCCCGTCAAGCCACAGGTCATGTGATTTCACACGCGGGCCCCTGCCCCGGGCCAGAGGCCTGGCCAGGTGCCACGGAGAAGCCTGCTCACCTGCATTCTTGATCATCATCTCCTCGTCGGTGAACGTTTGCAGGGGGGTGCAGGGGAGCCCCCCACTGGTTATACTGGGCAGAGCTTCTGGCTGGGAAGACTTTAGGGCCCGTGGGGGAGTCTTCCAAGAGCACAGGCAAGTTGGGAAGTTTCTTCTTAGCTGTAACAACCGTCCCCAGTGGAGAGAGAGAAAACACACACACAAACACACACGGTAAGAGAAGTAAGTGTCAGAACACTGGTCCCTTTGGGAATAACTCTGTAGCTCACACTTACACCATGTGCCACCAAAAAGGGGAGCTTAGCGCTGCCTGTTGTAGAGCTCACTGTCTTGTGCACAGAAACAAACGGGCTTGCCAACACAGAACTCCTGCGTCCAGCAATGAGCTGTTCCATATAAACGCATTTCCCAGACAGTGAACTTGTGCCTTCAGAGAAACAGAACTCCTGATGGAACCCAGGCTCACGTCCAGCCTAGTTTTGTTTCTCTGGCTTCTCAGCAGCAAGAGACAGCGCAGCACGAGAAGCCTTAGGAGAACCAGCTCTGGGGTCTGAGAGGACTAGTTTCGAACCCAGCGCCTGGTGGGTTGATATAACTACGCGGTCCTGGACGCGTGGTTTTTCACCTCAGTTAAAATCTCCCAGTGCTCGTTCCCCGCGCTGTCAAACACGGAGAGTTGCTGAGGGTCAGTGAGACAATCCACAGGAAGGGCCGAGCAGGACCCGCCCACCGCAGGCGCTCACCTCAAGGACAGATTTCACCGTGACTTGTGCTAAGATTCGGCGGGTGGTCACGCAGGAGCGGCTGCAGTGACCGCAGCAGCTCCCCCCGTCCAACAGCAAAGCTTTCCCTGTCCCAGCGCCCCAAACCCGTCAACTTGCCAGCCCCACCGAGCAGTGGGTTTGCTACTGTTTTATTGAAGAAAGAGACCATCCAATTTTACATGTTTGTTGTACCTTTCCAATTTTCTTTTGTAGAATTTTAGTACCGGGGGAACAAATAAGGCATTGGCCATTTCCCGAAGCTAAAAACATGCTAAGGAGAAGAAGCCAGCCACAAAAGAGCACATGTCATATGATTCTGTTGTTCATAGGAAAATCTGGAAGAGAGAAATCCAGAGACAGGAAGGCGAGTGCCGGGGTCGCCTGGGGCTGGGGCGGAGGGGAGGGGTGGGCGCGGGTGAGGGGGCCGTGCAGGAGGCCACAGGGGTCTCTCTGAGGCAGCGACTGTCAACCTTTTCCATCTCACGGCACACATAAGCTACTGTAATTACTACTAAAATTGTGCTACTACTAAAAATAATTTCCTTTTTGCTGATACGACAGAGTTGCAATTCTGACGCGTTCGCGCTGGATGGATGTTGTTGTGCTGGACAAAAGAAGGGCCAAGAGGCGAGAGCCCCTGACGAAACAGCCGAGTGCTGCGTGTTTTAAAAACCCCTGCGGCACACGGCTCGGAAACTGCTGCTCTGGAGGACGAAGTGTTCCAAAGTTGAATTACGGTGGTGGTTGCACAACCCTGTACATTCATGGAAAATCACTGTATTGTACATTTTAAAAGACTAAATTTTATGGCATGCAAATTATTGCTCAATAAAGCTGCATAGAAAAAAATTAGCACTTTCCTTTTATTCAGCAAAGATGACGAGAGGACATCCTCAGCCCCGGCCAATGCCTGGGAGCGCCTGGCACGCCCAGAGGATAAGTGGCACAGAGGGAAAGGGTACTTTCCCCAGCTTCTGAGAGGCGTGTGGTTTAGACAGGACCATGAGATACACGTTCTGGAACGGGCTGTCAAGAACGGGCACGGCTCGGTCGGTTGGGCGTCTTCCCAGAAAACGAAAGATCGCTGGTGTGATGCCCAGTGAGGACATGTGCCTGGCTTGTGGCCCGGTCCCGGATGGAGCCCGTGTGAGAGGCAGCTGACGGATGTTTTTCTCCCTCTCTCCCTTCCTCTCTAAAAATAATACAATCTTAAGGGGAAAATAAAAGAAACAAAGCAAATGCAAGATTAAAAAGCAAATGCGCCCTGGCTGGCGTAGCTCAGTGGATTGAGCACGGGCTGCGAACCAAAGTGTCGCAGGTTTGATTCTCAGCCAGGGCACATGCCTGGGTTGCAGGCCACGGCCCCCAGCAACCGCACATTGATGTTCTCTCTCTCTCTCTATCTCCCTCCCTTCCCTCTCTAAAAATAAATAAATAAAATCTTTTTTTTAAAAAAAGCAAATGCATTTATCACTGCATTATATTTCCTCAAGAGGCTGGATTACACTGAACACGCTGAAAAGCGAACTGCTCCAAACAGAGCGGACACGAGAGTCGCCGTGTCGGAAGCCGCTGGGGATCCTTCCTGCGCATCCGCCCGTCCCTGGGGTTCGGTGCCGGGAGCGCGTGCATCCTACCCCGGATTTAACTGGGAAAAAGAAACAGTGGCCAGACAGAAGAAAAATGCGTATGTCTGAGTTTTTCTACTTAACTGTGCTTTGTTTCGAGAATCAGGAGACAAAAGTTAGGGCAAAGTTGCACAGAACATTTTTTTTTTCTCGTTAAAACTGGGACATGGACACTCTGGACCAGAAAGGAGGACCAGAAAGGAGGACGGGGTACACCAGGCACTGTCTTCTTCCCGACGACACGGGTGGGAGGAACGGAGAGGAGGGTAGGGAGAAGAGAGGTAGGAAATGGGAGCGCAACCGGCCGGGAAGGAGGGGGTATTGCCAGGGAGGGACAGCTCTGGAGCGGCAGGCACCAAGAAGGAAGGGGGACCGGAGCAGAAACGGAACTACGGGAGGGAAGAGAAGGGCAGTGCGCTTCGGCTGCACGGCCGGTGGTGCAGTCGCGGAAGGGCCCCTCCACGCACACTCGAAGGAAAGGGCCAGCCGTCTTCCCCACGAGAGGCTCCTGAAACTCACCTGTAACATTTCAAAAACTGCGATCCATTGCCCACGTTTCTGGCTGCTAGGGGAGATTACCTACTAAGCCCACTTAGGAATTCCTCGCGTCTCTCAGTCAATACACGATCATCCTCGCTAAGTTCATCTTGAGCAGGAAGTCCACCACCGAGAAAACTTCAGTAGCCGGTGGGGCCTAAGATGAGGTCCCTTCGTTGCCGCTGACACTGTTGTGACGCCCTCGCCCTCTGTGTTGCTGCTGAGAAAGTACCTGACTGCTGAACACACAGCAGCTATTTCGGAGTCCCGAGATGCGCTAACAGAGGCAAGCGCGCCTCGAAAAGGACCAGGCGGCACGCACACGCAGGGCGGGGCTGCTAACAGCGCCCGCCAGAACGCGCAGCGGCCCTGTGCTGAGTGAACGGAACCCATTTAACCGTAATCACGGAACTGCAAGCGTCCCCTGCACCGACTGGCAGGAAAAATTCCCCTTCCACGGGACACTCTTCCGTCAAGGAAACGTCTCCTCTCCTCGCCGGCACCCACACAGCCCGGGGTTGCCACGGTGATTTCCCACTGTCCCCTGCCCTCCAGGGTGGACCTCAGCCTCTGCGGCTTTGGGGTCCACTCCGTCAAAATGATTTTCCACGGTTATAACCCGCTGCGCCACATCATCACATTTTTCTGTGGAGAGCAGCAACTGCTCCTCGAGTGGAGGGATGGTTATTTATGCCTTGCCAAGGGGCGTGAGCCCGTCTCCTCCTCAGCCCAGCAGAGCTGGGCCGCACTCACAAGTGCTGGGGCCCGAACCTGGGGCCTGTGGACTCCCGTGGACGGAACAAGAGTCCACGAACTTGGATGGGGTTACAGTGATGTCTTTATCTCACTGCCCTCTGACCGAAATACTGCACTTTCTAGGCAACGAGGTACAATAGCGTTAGGTGCTATCTGTGACTGCCGCCAAAAGAAATGACAGACATTTCAATATCACATAACACTTGGTCCAATTATCCTGAAATATTGTGGGTGCTCATTACTACTTCAAAATTAAACAGTTATTCAAACTGTTGTCAGATTTTATTTAAGAAGCAAATATTGTTACAATTTAAAAATATTTTAATAACTTTTATTACAGTTTATTTCCTTTGTAATTCATATATTAACTTATGCATTTAAAAATATTTTGAGAAAAGGTCTATAAACCTTACTACATTGCTGTATACCAGAAATTTTCAACGGGTGAGCCACAAGAATTCCTAACACGTGCAGCACCTGATTATTTAGTCGGGGGCATGGATCTCTTTCCCCTAGGATTGTCCCATTTAAAAAAACGACAACAGCCAGCACAACAGTAGTCATCTGGTGTGAAGGTGTCAAAATTGTAACTATTTTTTCTTGTCAGATCGGCAAAAAGCCTATTTTTGGGTGTGCCGCAGGATTTAGTAATCAGTTTATGTGCACCCTGGGATGACAAAGGTTGGAAAACCCCTGACCACCGAATGTTCTGGTGAATCTGTCACTAGACTCGTTAAGTTTTGCCATTATGTCACTCAGCACCTCTCTCCTCGGCGACCCGCACGGCGAGGTGCGTTCCAAGCACCCTTCCAGTGCGTCAGGTCTAGGAGCTCTGACAACGAACCAAAGGCGCAGGAGACGAGGGAGACGCTGTGCTAACCTACAGAGAGAGCGCCACCTTGCGCTTTCCAGAGGAAGTGCTTTGCTTGGCGCAAGAATGCCGCACCTGAAATCCCTACTGTCACTGGGTCCCACCGCAGGTGCCCTCCTGGCGCTTTTTCCTGCAGGGGTGTGTGTGGGACTTGGATTCCCTTCCAGGGTCACAGCGCTCTTCCTGGGGGCTTGTGACCGTGAGAAACCCCACTCCCACTCCTGCGTAGGATGCGCTCCCTCACTCACCGTGGGCACACAGGTCTGCTGACACCCCCGCCCCTTGTGAGGAGCACTGGTGGATGCCAGCACTGTGCCTCGGTCAGTTCCTTCTGCCTTTAGTGTACAGCACCCAGTGCTGGGGCAGAAAAATGATTTCCCTTCTGTCCCTGAAGTTCTTCTGGTTGGTCTAATCATCAAGTTGCTACGAGACGGATTATCAGGAGAAAAACAAATGAAAGCTTAATAACACGTATACATCCTGTATACTTGGTAGAGACTCAGGAACCCAGAGCAACTTGCAGAGATGGCAGAAGCCATGGTCTTAAATGCCAAAAGACATGGCGGGTGGGTTGGCAATCCAGTTATGGGAGGTGACCAGGAA